CCAGGTGGGTCTCGAACCCCGGGCTCAGGCAATCCACTCACCTCAGCCTCCCAAAGGCGCAGGATTATAGGCTGAGCCACCGAGCCTGGCTGGCTAGGTTTTTTTTGAGGATTTTTTTTGAGTTAGAGTCTCACTCTATCGCCCAGGCTGGAGTGCAGGGGCATGCTCACAGCCACCCTGGAGTCGACTTGCTGGGCTCTGGCAATCCCTCCACCTCAGCCTTCCAAGTAGCTGGAACTACAGGTGCACACTACCATGCCTGCCTATTTTTTTTATTTTTTATTTATTTTTATTTTTAATTGTGGAGACAAGATCTTGCCAAGTTGCCCAGGCTGGTCCCGAATCCTCAGGCTCATGCAGTCTACTCACCTTGGCCTCCCAAATGCTGGGATTACAGGCTGAGCCACTGAGCCCAGTCTGCTAGGTTTTATTGTATTTTTGGGGAGGATTTTTTGTTGTGTGTGTGATTTATTGTAAAGATGAGGTCTCACCAAGTTGCCCAGGCTGGTTTTGAACCCCCTGGGCTCGGGCAATCCTCTCGCCTCGGCCTCCCAAAGTGCTGGGATTACAGGCTGAGCCACTGCACCCAGCCAGCATTCCGTTTCTTAAACGCTTCCTCTCATTTTGGGAGGGTGCACAAGCCTTGGGTGGGACATCCTTGGGAGGTGACATCATGCACAGAGAAGGCAGGACCCCAAGGAGCTTGATGTGATGGGGGTTGAGAGGACTGGGGGGCGGGGCTGGAGGAGACAGAGGAGCCCGCTCTCCTGGTGTGTGGCATCCTCAGGGGTCTCAAGGAATGTCAGCATCGCCCACCTTAGCTCACCTCTCATCTCCGGCTCACTCATCACCCAACTCGAAACGTGAGTCCCCTCTGCACCCCACCCACCCCCACCCCCACCCCTGCTCACCCCAGGCATCAAGGCCAGCTCCAGGCCTTGGAAATATTCGCAGATCACCTCCTGGGCTCCAACCAGCACCAAGCACCTTCAGCTTCAGCATTTTTTTAATTTTTTGAGTCGGAATCTCACTGTATGGCCCAGCCTGGGGTGCAGCGGCAGGATCCCAGCCCCCGCAGCCTCCAGCTGCAGGGCTCAGGCCATCCTTCTACCTGAGCCCGCCACGGGTTCATCATGGAAGCAATTGCTACAGCCACCAAACCAGCCTCTCCCAGCCCGGAGACAGGGGTGTCATTCTGAGTCCACGATCCCAGATCCCAAGGCTGTCCCCCAGGGCTCCTGCCCTGTGGCCCACTCAGAGCTGTCTGCCCCCCTGGCGAGTCCAGGCCACCACTTTGTCGCCTGTAGATGACTCCGCGGGGGGGTTTCCGGAATCCGCCCCCATCCCAGCAGCAGTCGGGATGAGGGTTCGGAATCGCGGACCGGTTCGTGGCTGCTGGGCTCAAACCCATCCCACTCTGCCATCAGGTCTCTGCCTTCGAGGGTCTCCAGCAGCGCAGGCCTCGCTGGGCGTCAGGCCGGGGCTGCTCCCGCGTGTCCTTGGCCGCCCTGGACTCCTCACGGCTGGGGTCTGTCTCGGCAGGACGGTCCCCGGCCCCCTCGGAGTCAACCTCCCCACCCCC